TTCTTTTAGCTTCAAATAGCCATTCTCTGTTTATAGATTTGGCATATCATAAAAGTGGTCCTTCTTTTGTGATATAGATTCAAATTTGAATGTGGATGATAAATAAAAATCAAAAATAATTGTTATAATTTAAATGAAGAAGTAATTTAAAACGATTTTATTTATGATCAAATTTTATATATCTTTTTTGGATCAAATCCATTTTAATAGAATTTATATACTATTCATCTATTTAGTAAACACTACCGTATATTATTTTTAAGCTATCTTATTTTTTGAAATTTTATTCAAATCTTTGGTCGCAAGAAGAATTGCATGATAAATAAAAACATTTAATCAAAGTCAATTTTATTTTTCATATTCAAATGGACTTAGTGTTAACATTTAACATTTTTTGCTAATTGTCGTCAAAAATTAGGCGTAAAGCAAAAAATTGATATTTCATATGGTTTTATGATAGATAAGCATTATATTCCCACTCATTATATTCGTAAATTTTGAGGTTTATCCTTCGCTTTTAAGATCATTGAATTTGATTTTTATATAAAATAGTTATATATTAGAAAATAATATGAGTTTATGTGATATTATTTTTCAGAAGATTTCATTCTATATGCCTATGAAAAGTACTCTCAAAACTAACTTTTTCCTAATTATAATTAAATCTAGAATATTGTATTATGCTTAGTGTTATTTCATTTTTCTCATTCAATTTAGAATTTACAAATGTCAAAAATTGAGAGCTGTCACTTTTGATGAATTTCTGTTTATTACATAGCATTAATAAAAAAATCATTTGTTCTGATTAATATTTATCCAATAATAATATATATTCATTTTTGAATTTAATTAGCTTTTTTAAAGCTTAATATTTAATAATATTATTATTCAACATTCTTAATAAAATAAGATATATGCTTTATGTCTAATATATGTTTTGTAGAAATTTCGAGGAAATATCAAGGTTTCAACATCACTTCACTTCCACCATTTCGTCTTACGAAAGTTTAATTGTATGATTAAATACTTGGGCCATTCTAATATTTCATCTTTTTGAAATCGATTTTGCTCAATAGGATATGTATTAAAATATTTTTCCAATGCATCCAATAAATTATCCGTGCCATTTATTGATATATCAAGAAAGTCGTTTTGTTTTGTTTCTATCGGGGTAATACGATGTGAAAAGTGACAAAAATATACTATGATTTATATTTCATTGTATATAATAAAGTCGAGAAGGGAGTCCTAACCTTAAGAAAGGGCTCTCTTCTCGACTTTCTGCTGCAATCTCACTCGAATTGCGCGTATATACTGCTTCTTTCATTAGAAGTAGTATATACGCGCAACAATATGCCATGGCAAGTGCACTTGTCGCCACTTTTAATGTTTCTCAAATGCAATGCGGGAAGGAGTGGCAATATAGTACTTGGGTAGTTGTGGAGTTATGTGTTAGGAGAGGGAACAGGACAAATTTGCCACACGGCACTTTTTTTTAAAAAAAATTAATGGAGCGGAGCGATACTCTGCTGCAGGAGCCCCAAGGCTCCCAATCATTACGAAAGGGAGCCTCAGGGCTCCTGAGAATCCATCAGCAGAGGCCTTTTCATTTGGCCTCTGCTGATCAAAGATTCGGCGAAGCCATTCTTCGTCTCAGGAGCCCCAAGGCTCCCAATCATTACGAAAGGGAGCCTCAGGGCTCCTGAGAATCCATCAGTAGAGGCCTTTTCATTTGGCCTCTGCTGATCAAAGATTCGGCGAAGCCATTCTTCGTCTCAGGAGCCCCAAGGCTCCCAATCATTACGAAAGGGAGCCTCAGGGCTCCTGAGAATCCATCAGTAGAGGCCTTTTCATTTGGCCTCTGCTGATCAAAGATTCGGCGAAGCCATTCTTCGTCTCAGGAGCCCCAAGGCTCCCAATCATTACGAAAGGGAGCCTCAGGGCTCCTGAGAATCCATCAGTAGAGGCCTTTTCATTTGGCCTCTGCTGATCAAAGATTCGGCGAAGCCATTCTTCGTCTCAGGAGCCCCAAGGCTCCCAATCATTACGAAAGGGAGCCTCAGGGCTCCTGAGAAACCTCTTTGAGAAGGTTTTCTTTAAGAAAACCTTCTCAAAGATGATTGTCAGCATTCACTCAAAATCTACCAAGAGTTTCAAAGTTTCAAATCTATCTGAAATGAAGCTTTGAATCTCTTGTATATCTAATTGTAGAGGTACCTTTTCAAAATGTCTTCTATTGATTAAATTTAATCAGTAAAAGTCATTTTGAAAAGGTACATCTCTATAATTGCTATTGAGCATTCACTCTTGGAACCTTGGAGCTCTTGTGTAGTGCATGAAAACTCCAAGATTCTAGAATAAAACATATATCATAGACATAATTTCTTCAAATATAATTTAAGGTTATTTTTTAAAAAATTAGAACAGCGTAATTTAAGGTTATTGAAAAGTGACACTTGACAAATTTATCCCGCACTCTTCAAAAATAAGGAAATTTTGATAAATATCCTCATCGCTATTATCATAAAAGATTCAATATCCCTTTCGATATTTAATGACAAATTTGAAAAGGTGTTTGAAATTCTTTCGGATTTTGTTGAATTTAACCCAAAATTTATTATTAATTGTTTACAAGAAATTTTATTTAACTCTTCTTGTAAAGAAAACTTTGCCAATATTTTGAATGCATTTGAAAATTCCGAGCTTAGAATATATTTGGATGAATGCGAAGATGAAATCGATCCTGAAATTTTTGACTCTCTCAAAAATATGTATTCAATTTTAAATGAATCTAATTCTCATCAATAATAACATATGAATAAAAAATAAATGGATTTAATTTTTTTTATCAGTTTCAATAGATTACAGTTATTTTTATTTTCTACAATATCTCATTACCAAATCGTTTTAACTCTTTGTATATCAAAGAATAATAATAAGTGACCTGTAATAACCATACTCATAATGGATTAGACCTCAAATTATTTAAAATGTCAATTCAATATTATTAAATTACAATTTCTTTTATTCTAATAGATTTTAACTAGCCAATCATGATTACAAATATTGTAGCCTTCATTAACTCATAATATCGAAGAATATAACTTATATTCATGGACAATTTGTGATTAATTTCCAATAATATATAAAACCGACTCAAATTAATCATGTTGGCATTAGCGCGCATCGATGCTCAATCTACCTGTAGTATTATAAGCTTATATTCCTATTTTTCAGCATTAAAATTGTGAATTACGTAATTTTGTCATAGTTTTACGTAATTTTAATTTTTTTTGATAAGAAAAAAATGACTTTAAGAAAAAACGAGATCACTCATAATCTTTTTCTCAGAAAACTGCAGAGTATACAACAAATGTACTCAAACGTGCATTAAGCACAATACCTGGTCCCCATTTCGCTCTATGGACCGATAATGGTACAAAAAATAAAGAAAAATTGCAAAAACGTTCCCACTTTTTGAGAGGGATGTTTTGCAAAATAATTTTATGGACATCTCTGGAAAGTTTCATTTCAGTTTGATAATATATCCAACACCTATATAGAAGAGCCTTGCTGATTTGACCTGAAAGAGCGAAAGTTAGTTTTTTGATTTGAAAACCCTGCAATTTAATATTGTTAAGGACTCAATGTAGAAATATGATATAATATCATGTAGAGATCAATCATCTTCCAAAAATCTTCTATGTATGAAAGAAAAAAATTTGCAAAACGTACCTCTCAAGAAGTGGGAACGTTTTGCACACTCTCGAAAATAAAACACAATTTCATTAATTATTATGCGAAAGGGGAATTGAACATATTTTTATTCAACCAGATAATCCTCAGGCCAACAGATTTCGCAAAGAGAATTTCCCCAAACAGTAAGATTTTTCAAAAAAAAGAAATATAATGCGAAGAATTAAGATTAATCACCGAAAAAACAACTGATTTTACTTACTTTAATGATTTTGAAGATATGCAAATTATCAGGAAGAAAGCTCAATATAACAAATAAAATAATATTCTAATTTGCAAGAATGGGTTTAATGACTACGCACAAATACATAGCCTCATACATATCAACAAAGGTCTTGGGTCTCCGAGGTTCTCAATTTCATCAGAAACCGCTATATGATAACCAAGCTTACTCAGATCTACACATAAATACATAGCCTCATACATATCAACAAAGGTCTCTCTACTCTTAAGTTCCAATTCCCAAAATTTTATTTTTATATTTATTGGCAAAAGGTAAAAGTTCCAAATTATCGTATCGTTAATTTTTAATTTGCTTTCAAATTATATTTTTTGTACTTACGTTCAATTTTTATTTTTAATAAATTATTTATATTAAAATTTCGAAATATTCATAAATACATTCAATTCATATAATAATAGTCAATATCATCGTTTTGAGAAGATCAGATCCTACACAAAAACCATGGAGAGGATTGTATTTTCAATGTATGCCTCTGGTCGAGCACTAAAAGCAAAAGCTAGACAGTTTTTAACCTGTATAATAAAAATGTATCATATATCTTTTTGGAAAATAAAAACAAATTTTTATTTATTCAATATTATATAAAAAGGTGTTGATATTGCAGGTTTTTCAGTATGTTTTCCATCCCAATAAAACTCAATATTAATCGATATATCTGAAAAATACGAGGTGTCAAAGTGGTGAATTTCACCTCACTTCGTTTTGCTCCATTAAATTGACTCAATTTCATCCCTTTGCTGAGAATTTTTGTATTTGGAGGATAATAATCTAAATAATTCGAAATATTTGTTACAATAACTATCAGTGCTTGATTTAATGTTTGAATTTGATTGCTTCAAATTGCGCAATTTTAAGTAATTCGGCGTCAGATGTTAATTTTTTGCAAGAAGAATTAAATATATATGTGGGATTTGGTATTGCGTTTGATGTTTTGTTTGTTAATTCGTTGGATAAGGCTTTATCTGGGTTCCACGGATGAATACCATACTGATGCATTGACTTAATCACAAGCATCAATTAAAATTCTTACAATTTTTAACCTTGGTTTTGGGGTATTTGATAAATTATCTTGCTCATATGTGTAAAGCGGAACATATTTTAACCTGTTATTCTTTGATCTCAAAGATGCTGCACATCCTACATCAAATAACTGGAGAACTACTGTGCAGTAAGCTGGAAATGTCAAGAGTTCAATTCTGAAGAGACTCAAAAGTTTGCAAGTAAAATAACTTACTCGGCTGATATGATTATCACCGAATACGATATTATGCTGAGCTGCTGTGATAGCATCAAGACTTGAGCGATATCTCTGGATTTCGATAATAAAAGTTAAATTAAAGATATCCCATATCTTCTTTGTCATCCATCCATAAGATTGTCCTGTAAGGAATGCTCTCACGGAGCGGAGTTCCTGTGAACAATTTTATATTCCTGGAACAATAATAAATGGTTTCATCCGGTATCCTTCAGAATTATATGGGAAGATACTAGTAACAAGCACAAATTCATGCTCTTCTTTGGTTAAAGGAGGGTTGCTTTCAGTGCAGATAACTTTGTAACGCTTTGATGAAGCAGAGATGTTTCATAAATACTCCACTTATTCCATGGATCAATTCCTGCCGTATACTGAAATTAATGTAAGAAGTTAGCAACTGTTGCTGTGTTACAGTACTTTGCTCGTTTTTCCTCATTTTCTTTTGAGCTTTTGATCTCAATGTTGAGATCAGAGCAAACTCTGTTTAACCATGATCTTGAGGGGAGATATACTTCTAGCGAAGTAAACAATTCTTTTTCCTCTTGTTGGAAATTCGTCTGGATGAACAAGGCCAGCTAGATATAAAGCTCTGCTGTATCTATACTCCAGTAATTCGTAGGCAATCTGATAAGCTTCGATTACCTTTTCACATGCAAGACCTTTTGCTCTTTGATTGATTTCACCATAAAAATCAAGTAATTCGACCTCTGAAAGATACGATGGTTCTCCACCATTACATGTGGTTGTCCATACATTTTCCGCAATTGTATGTCGCAACTCTGCAGTTATTGAATCATCGCGTTCCATGTGAAATTCATCTTTGTTATCAGTGTAGCACTTTTTGTTTAGTCTTCTTTTGAAGATTTTACGTTGAATACGAGACAAAACTGCTTTTTCTCAATGAAGTTTACATTTGGCTTTAATGTAATTAAGACTTTTCATGTCACTTTTTGTAAAGTTCATTTTCGGTACGGAACAAATGCATATATTAATGCATTAATTCTAAATGTAATAAATTTTGTATCTTTGAAAATTTCAAAGTTAAAAAAAATTGGACTAATATTATTCGTCTTCAAATGTACTATGCA